CGCGCCCCGGCGTCTCCAGCCAGACCCCGCGCGCTAGTTGTCGGCCGGGCTCCCCCCTCGCTCCCGGGACAGGCGGTAGCGCGTGCCCTGGAGCCATCGCGGGGAACCCGGGAGCGGTGGCTTCGTCCCAGCCTGCGGGCGCGCTGTCTGGCGCGTCCGAGCGGCCTCGGGAAGCCGGCTAGCGTGCCAGGTCGTCCGGCTTGCACCCCGACCCTGCCGGCCGGGCGTCTTCTAAGGCATATGGTCTCCGGGGAGAACCGCAGGGAGGAGCGAGCACCGAGATGTGGGACCCGTCCAGGAAGCCCCAGCCTGGCCCCCCGCGGGCGCAGGGTCTAGACAGCACCTGGAGAAGCTTAATGGGGCGGAGGGTCCTCCGGGCTCTGCAGCCCGGGGCCCCCTACTTGGCGCGCGGCGGGAGCTCGTCTTTTCCAGCCGGGCGCGGACTCGCTTTGTGTACAGCTGCGTGCAGCGTCAGCTCATTCTGGGCAGCCCACAGGAACGCTGCGCAGGGTTTTAGGGGACATCCGCGGGTGGAGGTCCTTTACCCTATGGAAAAGTTGTGGATTTGGCATGGCCTGCTTCTAGGTGGTGCAAACGGTGAAGCACTCAGCATGCTCACAGAAAGAGTTGGCGGTTGGAGCTCACCCAGGCGTGGGTCGTAAAAAAGGCCTGGCGATCTTTTCCCAATAAACCAGCCGCTGAAAAACCCATGAAACACAGTTGTACTCTGATATTGATGGGGTCGTCAGAATCCACTATTCTCCCACCCTCTATGAGTGGTTGTAATATTTGTCATGAACTCATTTATAATAAGGACCACCATGCGGCTCAGCCTTGCTCAATGTTTACCGCATGTATGACTGTAAAACCATACGCTTTGGTCAAGACATGACAAACATGGGGCATGCTGATGGCATGAAAATGCATGAAAAATGCATTAATCTCCTATGCTCCCGATAATGTAACTGGAATGAGCAAATTCAACATTTCCTCTATAAATCAGGATGCTGAATTCTCAAACCCCTCTGGCTTTTCCAAGAGCAAAATTACAGTTAGGAAATCATAGGGCATGGGGGAGGTCTCCAGGGAGTGTTTGTTGGAACACTTGAAGGAGGGATAGCTAAAATAGCTAAAACTTAGACCCATATCCTCATAGGAAGAAAATACTCAATAATAATGACTTTCTTGAGAAACATTTTTGAATCATTGTGGAAAAGTGAAATAAAAAGATAATGGGATTTTTTCCACGAACATTTTGAAGCCCCCTAGGAGTCCTGGTGTGGCACTGTGGGTTCATGCACCAGACTGCAAAGCTGTTTGAACTGCAAGGTTGGTGGTTCAAGCTCACCAGCTGCTCCTCGAAAACCCTATACAGGGTCGCTCTGGGTCGGAACCGACTCGATGGCACTTAACAACAACAGGAGCTCTTGTAGCGTATTGGTTACAAATCGGGCTGTGAACCTCAGGGTCAGCAGTTTGAAACTACCAGCTGTTCTGTGGGAGAAAGATGAGGCTTTCTGCTCCCATAAAGATTTACGGCCTTGGAAACCCTGTACAGGGTCACTGTGAGTCAGAACCAACTCCACGGCACATAACAGCAACAGCAGTATTAAAAATATATGATGACCCAGCTTTATCATTAAAATACTGCTTTTTATTGTGAACTGAATGAACGTTTACAGAGCAGATCATCAGTTCACAGTCTGGTCATTTTGGAGGCAAAAATCTAGTCTTTATTATGGGATGAACCTTACCAGCACAGTGGTTAAAGCGCTTGGCTGCCAACCAAAAGTTCAGCAGTTTGAACCTTCCAGCAACTACTCAGAGAAAGATGTGGGAGTTTACTTCCGTAAAGATGACAGCTTCGGAGGCCCTGTGGGAGAGTTCTGTGATGTTCTGTCGGGGTGCTAGAAGTTGGAATTGACTTGGTAATTCAAATCTTACAAAGACTTTTCTATAGATATACATATGTTGTTAGGTGCCATATATATGCATGTATGTATGTATATATATGTGTGTGTGTGTGTATGCATGTATACACAGTCACACACATATGTTCTTAAGTGCTATCAAGTTGGTTCTGACTCATATTGACCCTGTAACGGGTTCCAAGGAGCTGTTGGTGGGTTTGAACTGCTGACCTTATATTTCACACTGACCTTGTGGTCCAGTGCTTATCCTACAGTGCCATGCCAGGACTCTGGTATATCTATCTATCTATCTATCTGTGTATCTATCGAGCGGTTGTTAAATACCATCAAGTCAATTTCGATTCATAGCAACCCTGTATAGGGTTTCTGAGACGTGACTGGTGGGTTTGAACCGCTGACCTTGCAGTTCAAACCAACTTTGAAGTCCAGTGTACTATCCTGTAGTACCACACCAGGACCCTCCATATATGTTGTTCTTGTAGTTAAGTGCCGCTGAGTCAGTTCTGACTCATAGTGACCCTGTGTAGGGTTTCCAAGGAGTGACTGGTGAACTTGAACTGTCAGCCTTGTGGTTCAAATTGACCTTGTGCAAATCCTATAGTGCCACACCAGGACTCCATCCCGCCCCCTCCTTTCTCTACACACACACACACACATATTTGTGTGGAGGGTATTAATGCCCCAGACAGCAAAACCTTTTGAACTGCAAGATCAGTGGTTCAAGCTCACCAGCTACTCCTTGAAAACTCTATATGGAGTTGCTATGGGTCAGAATTGACTCGACAGCAGTTAACAATGACAACACACACACACACACACACATATATATAGGCGTGGCACTGTAGGAAAAGCACTGGGCTCCTAACTGCTAGGTTGGGAGTTCAAACCCACCAGATGCTCCAGGGAAACCCAATAGAGCAGGGGTGGGGAAATTCTGGCCCATGAATCATATAAGGCCTGTGAAATCATTTGGTCTTGCCCTGCCAAGCTAACCACAGTTTCAAAGTTGATAATTTTGTATGGCACTCACATGATGTTGTAAATATCCAAATGGCCCCTGGCAGAAAAAAAGGTTCCCCACCCCTGCCTGCCATACAGGGTCACTATGAGTTGGAACTGACTCGATGATACTTTAATATATATATTTAAATAAAACTAAATATAGTGTACATATATATATAATGGTGTGGTGCTGTAGGATAAGCACTGGACCACAAGGTCAGTTTGAACTGAAAGGTGAGTGGTTCAAACCCATCAGTCACTCCTCAGACAGGATCCCTGTGAGTGGGAACTGACTCAATGACACTTAACAACAACATACATAGTGGTGGTATGGTGGTTGTGTACTGTGGAGTCAGTTCTCACTCATAGCGACCCTGTGTAGGATTTTGGATGTTATAAATCTTTACGGGAGCAGAAAGCCTCATCTTTCTCCCATGGAGCAGCTGGTAGATTTGAACTTCTGACCTTAAGGTTAGCAACCCAACTTGTAACCCAGGGCTCCATGGATATATATATATATACCAATTGTGAGGTTGGCACAGGACTGGGCAGTGGTTCGTTCTATTGTGTGTAGGGTTTCTATGAGCTGGAACTGAACCTGGCAACAAGTATGTATGTGTATCTCAATGGCTGTATGTATATGCACATAAATGTATGTATGTATTTCAAAAGTTCATGTAAAAGTTCCATTATGTTTCAATTCCAGGAGTCCTGGTGTAGCGCTGTGGGTTAATGCGCTGGACTGCAAGGTCAGTTTGAACCACAGGGTCGGTGATTCAAACTTACCAGCCACTCCTTGCAAACCCTACACAGGGTTACTGTGGGTTAGAACCAACTGGTAGGCACTTAACAGCATTAAGAATAATATATACACATGAAATCCTGGTGTGGTGCTGTAGGATGAACAATGGACCGCAAGGTCAACAGTTCAGACTCACCAGTAGCTCCTCAGAAATACAGGGTCGCTATGAATCAGACTCGACTCAACAGCACTTCACAACAACAATGACGTATACCTGCACACACTTATTTGTGCATGGGGGTGTAGTCCAAATCCACAGCTTGTAGAGAAAATCCTAGCGAACGATTGCAAATAGCAACATCCAAGTAGAACACTAAAGGCTATATCCCATAATAATAATTACTGGAAAAGGTTAACAAAAACAACAAAATAATGTTTTGTGTCTTTTACCCCCATGTTTTAAGTGAGGTACATCTATCGGAGGCTTGGGAAGCTTTGAATGGTTCTACAGAATGAAAAGGCCAAGGGTGAACCAGTGATTTTTGTCTCCTTGTTCCACCGCAGATACCCAGGGCGAGCGAGAGCAGCAAGATGCCACTGCACGTGCGCTTGGGGGCGCTGTCCTTAGTCCTGATCCTGCTCTGGGGCCCCACGCCTGCAGCCCAGACCTGTCCACATCCTTGCGCCTGCTACGTGGCTAGCGAGGTGCATTGTACGTTTCGATCCCTGGCTTCCGTGCCTGCAGGCATTAATAAAGACGTGGAAAGAATCAATCTGGGGTTTGTATACTGCATGCTCCCTGAACTTTGTCTGCTCTGCTGTGCGCTGATGGTCTGCATGTGGACATTTGAGTGACAGCTTTTAATTCCTCTCAATGTGGCCAATTTGGGGGGGTTATCTGAATATATCCATCCCCTGCAACCACTACAAGGCTTACTACCAAAGGACTATGAACACGTTGAGTGTGGAATAACATTTTTTTTTTTTTTTTTTGCTAGCAAGCCTTTGTAGGAGTCCTGGTGTGGCGCTGGGAGTTAATGTGCTACACTGGAAAGTCAGTTTGAACTGCAGGGTCAGTGGTTCAAGTTCCCCAGTCACTCCTCGGAAAACCTATACAGGGTCGCTGTGAGTGGGAACCGACTCAATGGCACTGAACAATGCAAATGACAACAACCAAAAGTTTGGAAATTCCAACCCAACAGACGCTCCGAATCAGAAAGACCTGATGACCTGTTGCCCTAAAGATTACATCGAAGGAACCCCCTATGGGGCAGGTCTACTCTGTGACATCAGGTCCCTCTGATTTGGAACAACAATGACAGAGCAGATGAGAAACCATAAACCACAAACCACACCAAACACATTATCCTGAGTCCATTCCAAGTCATAACGTGCCTGTAGGACAGAGGACAATTGTTCTGTAGAGTTTCCGAACTCTGTATCTCCACTGGAACAGCCTGCTACATCTTTCTCTGTCAGAGCTGCTTCTGAGTTAGAACTCAGAACCCCAACATTTTATCTAGCAGCCCAATGCTTAATGCATTGCACTATGTATGCTCCTTCACACAGACAGCAGAAACGATTGGAAATAGCCAAAAAGGACAAAGAGAATCTCTGTGACATTTTATAAGCCATCCTTTTGATGGAACGGTGGCACTGAGAAAGTAGAGGCATTCTGTCACGTCTTGCCTGTTGAATTTTCAATATATTTGTGGCAAAGAGAAGCAGGTTGGCTGGCCAACATTACAAACAACTTTATATTTTGCATTTCCTCTGGCACGCAGGACTATTTTTAGATCCAGAAGCCCTGTTGTTGTGCCACTGAGAAGATTTTGACTCTTAGCGACCCCGTGTGACAAAGTACAACTGTCTCTTAGGGTTTGCTAAATGGCCACGTCTTTCTCCCTCAGAGCAACTGGTGGGTTTGAACTGCCGACTTTTTGCATAGCAGCAGAATGCTTTAAGTACTGTGCCACTCGGGCTTCCTACACAAATGGTGGCTGGTATGAATCGCAGATGCTCATGGCTTGCCATCTTCCTGGTCAGTGGTTTCATAGGATTTTCCATGACTATGACTTTCTGGAAGCAGATCCCCCGGTGTTTGTTCCAAGGCACTTCTGGGTAGATTGAACCTCTAAACTTTAGATTAGCAGACAAGCATGTTACCCATTTGCATTATCCAGGAACTTTTCTTAGTGTATGTTGTTGTTACTCAGTGTCGTTGAGTCGATTCTGACTCACAGCGACCCTATGTGGTGGTGGTTATGCCCTATACAGGGTTTTTTAATGAGCGGCTGGTGAGTTTCAACTGTCGACCATGTGGTTCAAAACAACTTTACAGTCCAGCGCATTAAGAAATTGTTATATCTCTGAAGTTCATTGGTAGAAAAAGATATAATAGAAACTTCAGACAATAAGATAGAAACTTCCCTTTGTAGTTAAGGACTGTCGAGTCAGTTCCAACTCATAGCAACTCTGTATTGTTTTCTGAGGCTGCAAATTTTCACCAGAGCCGAAAGCCTCATCTTTCTCCCAAGCAGCAGCTGGTGGGCTCAAATCGCTGACCTTGTGGTTTGCAGTCCAATGGTTTTCCCACAGAGCCACTGTGCTCCCTGGGAGCTTCCCTATTTGAAGGTAATTGAGCATTCAGTAGATTTCTCAATAAAATCTTGAAAAGTCTTATGATTTGAGGAGTTGGAAATCCAGCAAGGATGATGAAAATTCAGTGGGGAAAACAACTGGGCTTTGCTAGAAGAGGGAGTATTAATAGCTAAACCAGTTTCCGCTTTTACAGTCTGACAATTTATTAGGAGACATTGCTCCTTTTATGGGAGTAAGAGAAAAGGAAGGGCTTACTCCAATTTGAACCAGGGTAAGGTGAGCTGGTGGCACAGCAGCTAAGCACTTGGCTTCAAACCAAAAGGCTGGAGGTTTTAGCCTACCAGTAGTCCCTGCATAGAGGAACGATTGCTCAGTCTGCTTCCAGAAAGATTAGAGCGTTGGAAACTCTGTGGGATCATTTTACTCTTTCATGTAAGGTTGTTGCAAGTTCAAATCGATAAGATGGACATGGTTTGGATTTGTGTGTGTGTGTGTTGTTGTTGTGAAGTGCTGTCGAGTCGTTTCCGACCCATAGCGACCCTGTATACAGTTTCTGAGGAGCAGCTGGTGAACTTGAACCATGCACCTTGCAATTCAAATGCCTTTGCAGTCTGATGCATTAACGCACAGCGCCACACCAGGACCCTTGTTTGTGGGGTGGGGGTGGGGGGTTAGGAGAAACTAAGCTCATTTTTGCAAAATGCTTCCTTCCAGGGACTGCTCTTTTCACGAACCACATTTGAGTACAGGATTCAGAATAAGATCCCCTGAGGGGTTGAGTGTAAACCAGGAGTTTGGAGGTTTGAGTTTACCTAGAGGTGCTTTATAAGAAAGTTCTGGTAATTCAACTCCCTAAAAAAGCAGCCATTGAAAAAACCCTGTGGAGCACTGTTGTATTCTGACACACACAGGGCTCACCAGGGGTCAGCACTGACTCAAGGGCAATGGGTTTGGGGTTTGATTTTTGTTAAAAAAAAGACGAGATGCACAATTTGCATGGACGACCAGTAGTTCTGGAAACCTCTCCTCTAGGCAGAGTTCCTGTTAGGAGGTGTTGGAACAGTAAGAGAGAGGTTAAGGGTGGGACTTGAGTAGAACTATGCCCCCACCACTGTATGTGGTATACTTGGGACAGGGGATGCAAGTCAGAATTAGGGGAGAGTAAAATACCATTTGTATCTTTGAAAGGAGGAGCTCAGCTATGCACTTAAATTCAGACATGTAACACCAATAGCTGTTTACATTGTATTTCTTTTTTTTATATATATGTTTCTTTCCTCCCTTCCTTGAAGCCTGGGAGACTTCACTAATCTCCAAAATTACAACCCAGCCTCTGGCGGTTTCCTTTTTAAATGACTAATGACAGAGACGCACCTTATGGTGTCTTAAAATCCATACCCCCAGAAGAAAGCAAACATATCATCAGTATTCAGCTCCTTTTCCTCCTGTCGCCTATGGTGTCTTTGAGATGGTTTTCGGTGACGCTGGAGATGCAAGAGAGCAATGATTTGTAAGCAATTGCTATTTCGCTTTTGTGAATTCATGAATTCCAGGAATGAACGTGTGACGTTTTATATAGTGGCTACAACCAATGGAGTCAGACCCCACTTACAGCACCTAACAATAACAGTTTTACAAGCACATTTTCAGGTTTTTCTACTATGGAACTTCTGGTTGTGTTGGAATTATGGTGTAGGCAAAGAATATCGAAGCACCATGGACTCCCAGAATTACAAACAAGTCTCTGTTGGAGGAAGTACAACTAGAATGTTCCTTAGAGGACAGGATGGCCAGACTTCATCTCTCATACTTTGAACATATTATCAGGAGGGACCAGTCCTTGGGGAAGGATATCATGCTTGGTAAAGCGGAGGGTCAGCAAAAAAGAGGAAGACCCCCAATGAGAAGGATTGGCACACTGACAGCACCAATGGGCTCAAGTGTAGCAGGGATTGTGAGGTTGGCCCAGGGCCTGGCAGTGCTCCCTTTCGCTGTGCATAGGGTTGCTATGAGTTGGCACCGACTCGACGATACCTAACAACAAACAACATTCTTTATAACATCACAGAACTAAGGAAGCAAGATGAGTCTTGGGTGCAGATAGAATTTCAGGGCTGATTTGTTATTTCGCAATTTGGAGGGAATGTGAAACTCTCCAGGAATGAAGGTTTATTGGCACAGAATGATGGAGAGTATTGTTCCGTGCGCAGCTGTCTAGGATTCCAGCCACCCTTTAAGGAGTGGCCGGCTGCTTCCGGCTTGTACTGACTCACAACTGTAGCATAAATTACTTCACCGATGTTTTCTGAGTAAACTAGCAAACAAAAAGTTCCCTCCTAATGTCGGATAAAGGAGCTCCGGTAACATAGCGCTTACAAATCAGGCTGCGAACCGCAAGGTCAGCAGTTTGAAACTACCAGCTGTTCTATGGGACAAAGATGAGGCTTTCTGCTCCTGTAAACATTTACAGCCTCGGAAACCCTGTGCAGGGTTGCTCTGAGTCGAAACCGACTCCATGCACATCACCACCACCACCATCACCACCAATGGCAGATAAGCACCAGGTTGGGAGTTGAAACTCATCAGCCATGCCTCGGGAAACCCCATCTAGGATCGCTATGAGTCAGAACTGACTTGCCACTACTTAAGAGCAGCAAAATGTCAGCCTTAAGGAAACTTGTTGGGCATGTGAGTTAGTTGTTGGGATGCTAACCACAAGGTCAGCAGTTCAAATCCACCAGCTGCTCAGAGGGAGGAAGAGGAGCTGTGCTATTCATTTAAAGATTTACAGCCTTAGAAACCTACGCAGGGTCGGTCTGAGTTGGAATTGACTCGAGGGCAGTGGATTTAGTTTTTGATGATGTCTGAATTACATATTGGAATTGACTCGAGGGCAGTGGATTTAGTTTTTGATGATGTCTGAATTACATATTTTAAAAGACTTTTTTTTTTTTTTTGAGAAATTCATTCAGGATAGCTTTTGGAAATTCCACAAGAACCCATGTCTGTCTTTCCTACATTCAAGGTAGCTTTGCTGTACATCCACATGGCTGAGTAGTGTTTGCTTCTAGAGCACATGGGGTTCTTACCAGTCACAACAGACTGCATGGACCTAACAACAGCTGCAACAACAACAGTCTGATGTAAACATTTTGCTTAGTGTGTTGCACCCAGTGGTCAGAGAGTCAGCTAGCACTCATGGTGCCCCGTGTGTGTCAGAGTAGAACTGTGCTCACAGGGTTCTCAGTGGATGA